ATATATGATTGCTGTTACTTTATACAGCCCATGATTGGCCCGCTTTGTCTGTGCCACTATACCTCTATACGGGTATGAAAAAGTATTCCCTGAGGTGATTTATACTGGGTGACCCCCAATTACAGCTTGCAATGTGGAATTATAACATACTGTGATTTTTCGTGACGGCCTTACTATACACTCTAACACTGGCCTATTCTGCCCCATAGGTGCCACTGTTGCTATGGAGGCTTCAAATCAAGATAAAAACTTGCAAGCAATTATTAATGCAGCTGTGGCTGCTTCACTAGAAAAGGCCCTGGCTCGGGTGCTGCCCGTTGAATCAAAAGAGCCTAAAAGTTCAGGAACCCCGCATTCTGATGAAGATGCGGAGGATTCAGACTCCTCAAAAAGGAACCCTTCCAAACCCAGTAAACGTTATTGGAAAGGGAATGGGCCTGAACCACTCAAACGCAAGGGGAAAGAACCGGCGAAACGCCCTAAACAGGCGGATGTTAGAGAGAAACACTCCATCCAGCCTACTCTGTCGGAAGAGGAAGAAGACTCTTTCGACTTACACCCCTTAGCCATCCTAGATGAATGGCAAGCTGACCACTCCTCAGAAGATGAGGAAGACTGCCCTGAGACCTTTTTTTAAGGGAGCACCTCACCCTCAATCTATCCTGGGAGAACTCCCAACCGAAGATACGATACCCGGATCGAATCCATCTGGAGACACTGAATTTTTTCTGGATACACTTGGCCAGCCTCTTTTTGACCCGAGGCAAATTAGATATCCCCGATCATCTGAATGGTCACTACCAGACCATCTTTCCCAGTATATTCATTTCTGGATCAGAAGGCCCCTAGACCGGGAGATTCGGAAAAGACTACGAGCGGAATGCCCTAGACCCACTCTACCGGATAAGGTCGCGGTGACCCCGGAGTTTGATACGCTACTCTATACATATCTGGCCAGATCGGGCCGTGACCCAAGGAAGGGCATTGAGCGCAGCCTACGCCTCACCCAAGATAAAATGCTAGATATCTTAGGACCTCTAGCTAAAATTCTTCTACTGGCTGATGAAGCCTTATCTAATGAAGGCCCTCTAGACCCATCTGTGATTAGAGAATGGGCGCTACGCTCTATTTGCCTGCTGGGCAATGCAAATACATCCCTCTGTACTGAGCGTAGAAAAGCAGTGCTGCTGCGTATGGATTCCAAGTTAGCGGACTTGGGATCCAAAGAATTGGGCCCCAAAGCAAAGGGCCTATTGTTTGGAGAACCCTATATTAAAGAATTGCATAAGCATGTAAACCTATACGCCACACTAAACAAGGCGCAATCATCCATGAAAAGGGTATTTCATCATCAACCCTCACGGGTTTTTGGCAGGGCTGGCCGTACAAGGGGTCGTACAGTCAGCCGTTTCTGGACCACAAATTCAGGGTTATTCCATAGAATTTCACTCTCTCCCTTCTCAAACAGATTACCCTTACTATCCACAAATGTCAAAGTCTCAGAATCTCCTTCTAGATTCAGAACTACGCTCTCTTTTGACAAAAGGAGCGATTCAACTCGCTCCTCTAGACGAAGGTTTCCTCAGCTCCATCTTCTTAGTCAAGAAGAAATCAGGGGGCTTTCGCCCAGTAATCAACCTCCGTCAACTAAACTCTTTCGTTATTTACAGACATTTCAAAATGGAAGGGATTCATCTCCTCAGAGACATTCTCCGACCAGGCGATTGGTTCACTCGCCTCGACCTAAAGGACGCTTACCTCTCGGTTCCAGTCCACCCATCCAGTCAACGTTTTCTCCGCTTTCTTTGGCACCACCGGATTTATCAATTCACCTGCCTTCCATTCGGTCTGAGTTCCGCCCCGTGGTGCTTCACCAAACTGCTCAAACCAGTCACCGCACATCTTCGAGAAAACGGCATCCGCTGTTTGATTTACCTCGACGACCTCTTGCTTCTCTGCGAAGACGCATCCAGACTGCGTTTACAGACGAACTATGCATCTACATTGATCGAATCTTTGGGGTTCGTCATAAACCAAGAGAAATCGTCACTGTCCCCATCCAGAGTTATTCAATTTCTCGGCTTCGAGATCGATTCTTCAACCTGTGTTCTTCGTCTACCTCAATCCAAGTTAACTGCGATCAGGAAGGAACTACGCAAAACACTTCGTCAAGAGGATTTACCTCTCCGGGGGTTAGCTCGAATCGTAGGCCTACTTTCTGCTTCTATTCAAGCAATCTACCCAGGCCCCCTTCACTACCGGACCATGCAACGCTTGAAAGCCCAATTCCTTCGGACTCATCCTTCATACGACCAGAGGGTCCCGATCACTACGGAGGTGAGGGAGGAACTCCTTTGGTGGCTCCGCCACATGTCGGCCTGGAACGGCAAGGCAATTTTCGGTCCTACCCCGGACTATGTAGTGGAGTCAGATGCGAGTCTCCAGGGTTGGGGTGCAACCTATTTTACAACCTCCACCGGAGGACCATGGACCACCTCAGAACACCTTCTCCACATCAATTGTCTGGAGTTAATCGCAGGCTCGTTCGCAATTCGCAGTTTAACCAACCATCTCTCGAACTGCTGTATTCTCCTTCGGATGGACAATATCTCAGCTGTCCACTACATCAACAAGTTGGGCGGGGCCAGATCCCGCATCCTCTCCGAAGTGACAAAAGACATCTACGAGTTTTGCTTCCAACGCAACATCTCACTTCGAGCAGAATATCTCCCAGGGGAATCGAACATCACTGCAGATTGGTTCTCCCGACATTGGAGAGACGGCAGCGACTGGCGCCTACACAGAACAATCTTCCTCCACATCTCCAAACTCAGGGGCCCGTTTACCCTAGACCTGTTCGCCTCCCGGACGAACTTTCAAGTCCCACGGTTTTTCAGCTGGCTTCCAGACCCAGAATGTTTAGCGGTAGATGCCTTCCTTCAGAGTTGGCCGACAACAGGAGCCTATGCCTTTCCTCCATTTGCAATGATCCCCAGAGTCCTCCTTCAGATTCGCAGACAACAGATCACTCTGGTACTACTCACCCCACTATGGCGGGGCCAAGCTTGGTTTCCGGATCTTCTGGACCTTTCCTGCCAAGAGCCCCTCCTTCTGCCTCCATGGCCCAATCTCCTGGAGGACCCTCAAGGGAACCTTCATCCTATGGTGACACAAGGCCACCTCCAACTTGTAGCCTGGACTCTTTCAGGGGAACCTGGCACTTCGGAGGACTATCGCAGAGATCTAAGGAACTCCTCTGGGATTCGTGGGCTCCTGGAACTAGAAGATGCTATCTTTCCTCCTGGAACGCTTGGTGCAATTGGTGCCTGGAATGGAATACCGATCCCCTTACGGCCCCTAGACAGTTCATTTTGAATTTCCTCTCTCATCTATTCGATCTAGGCCGTTCCTACAGATCCATCAACGTTTCCCGTTCAGCCATCTCGGCAGCCCATGTTCCTCTAGACGGAGTTCCGGTGGGCCAGGATCAGCTGGTTTGTAGACTATTGCGGGGCATCAAACTGGCTCGCCCCCCTAAACCAAAATACTCCCATCTCTGGGACGTTAATGTCATGATTCGTTTCCTCGAGTCCTGGCCGAGCAACGAAGATCTATCCCTTCGTCAACTCTCAGCAAAATTCACCCTCTTGCTTTGCTTAGTGTCCTTCCGACGAGTGTCGGATGTTCGAGCATTTGACCATGACGCTATCAACTTTTCCCCAGAGGGTGTCTCTTTCTCCGTGTCCAGACGGACAAAATCAAACTCTTCTTCTATTTTTTATCCTTACTTTCCTAACCACCCAAAGCTGTGTGTGGTATCTCTTCTATCTCGTTATTTGTTTCTCACCTCCTCTCTTCGTCCAACGTCTTCCAGCCAACTTTTGATCTCATATGTCCGGCCACATAATCCAGTGTCAACCACAACCCTGGCCCGATGGGTTAGGTGGTTGCTCTCCGTAGCCGGGATTGAAGCCTCCTTCGGAGCCCACTCCATCAGAGGAGCAGCGGCATCGGGGGCGTTCAGCGCTGGAGCCTCGCTTCGTGACATTCTTCAATCCGCTGACTGGTCCCGAGAACAGACGTTCCGCGACTTCTACTTTCGTCCGGCTGTGCACGCTTCCTTGGCCCTTTTCGGGGAGCGTTAAAACAGCAAATACGAAGCCTCCTGTCATGTTATAAAATTGTAGATTATGCTAGCTTTAGTGTACCTATAATCTTAATTTTATTAATGACAGGAGGCGAGTATTTCCCACCACTCCTACTTTCGTTTTTTACCCACCCTAGGGTCGCCACTGTAGGTAAGTTTCTAAATCAAGACCGAACACACTAGGCCTAACTTCCATGGGGGTTAGGAGTTATTTTTCTATGATGTATAGATTAACTTTTCTAGAGAGCTGTAATGTATGTTTCATATCAATTGGTTATCATAATTTCAAAGTCCAATTCACAGATTAATCCTTGGTTTCGACTCTGCTCTCTCGTTTCAGCATAAAACTCCCTTAAGAAATACAGCCTAGTTGCTGCTCCAGCACAAGCTTCTCCTCTACTCCTCAAGTTTTCAAACCTACGTTCCTGTCTCCCTCTCAAGCATCACTCCTCAAGTCTGGCATCCTGAATCACTCATCTGGTTTCTTCAGTTACGGTTCCTATTTGTTCGCAGCCAGAAAGAGGAAATGACATCACTGGGAGGGACTTATATACCTTGTTATTCCTTTTTTCTTATTGGTTACCTTATTACTATGTGAAAAAGTGCTGCTGTGAAGCTTAAGTAAAGAAAGTCTTAAGCAAATACTCGCCTGCTGTCATTAATAAAATTAAGATTATAGGTACACTAAAGCTAGCATAATCTACAATTTTGCCCCTTTATAAATCAATTTTAGAACCACACCTTGAATATGCCATGGAAATATGGGCTCTAGTGATGTCCTGAACGGTTTGCCGCAGACGGCGAACAAATGCGGTAAACTTTGACCCTGTACCTCACAGTCAGCAGACACATTCCAGCCAATCAGCAGCAGACCCTCCCTCCCAGACCCTCCCACCTCCTGGACAGCTCACTAAGAATGCAGCTTCACAATGAATGTAAAATGGATGCTGTCCAGGAGGTGGGAAGGTCTGGGAGGGAGGGTCTGCTGCTGTGAGGCGAACCGTTCGGGATATCCCTATTGCTGACACTTAGCTTCTAGACAGCATATATTATAGCAAACACATAGAACAGGAAATATTTACAGAGTGAGGAAAAGGAAATGTAGGTGATTCTTTACATATTGCTCCATTAAGAGGACTTAGCAATACATCCATGGGGCTTAATATCCCTTGCTGAGCTAGATAAAAAACAAGATACATATAGTAGAGGATGTGTATTAAAAAATCTAAAAAGGAAGAGTAAAATCAATAGATCTTAATTTATAAAAAAGTTTTAAATAATAAATATTCTTTAAGAGTACATGTATATAAGTACAAAAAAGTATAAAAATGGATGGGTTTTTATATAAACTGATTAACATCAAACTCAACATTTAACCCTTTAGGGGTAACTGTGTTGAGATTAAAAATTCATTCAGTTTCCTTTTTTATTCAAGTTAAAATTGATATCACCACCCCTCCAGTGTGTGGTCACTTTTTCAATTGCACAGAATTGTAAACATTTTGCGTCTCCATTGTGGAAATCTGCAAAATGTTTGGAAACATTATGGTTCTCAAATTTTCTTCTTATATTCCCTATATGCTCTCTTATCCTGACCATCAAATGCCTGGTGGTTCTCCTACATATTAATACCCACATGGGCAGGACAGGAGATACACCTCACATGTGATGAGACCTTTTATTTTATACTCTTTATTTGTATTAAAAGATTTAAAACTTTGAATTTTGTTAGTTCTTCTATTCATCGTTTGACAACCCATGCATGTTCCACAGTAAAAAAAAAACCCTCTTGTATTCATAAAACTATTATAATTGGGTTTTGTGGGTTGATCTAAAAAACTCGAAGTTAAAACCTGTTTAAAATTCCTCGTTGTGGAATGCTTGTATAGAGGCTGCTGACATCACAACTAGCCATAAGATACCTGTTTTGCCATTGGAATGTTTCTAAAATTTGTAGCAAACTTATGGTGTCTTTCAAATAAGTTGGGCAGCCTTTAACAAGGGGCTGTAAAAATGTGTCTATATACTCCGAAAGTGGTGATAAAAGTGACCCTATTCCTGAGACAATGTGTCGTCCCGGAGGATTTTTTGCGTCTTTATGTATTTTTGGTAATACATATAGTACCGGGATCCTTGGAAATTGAACATCTAAAAATTGTCATTCCTTGTCCTTTAAAATTACTTCTGAACTGCCCCTTTCTAGATACTCTCTAAAGACTTTTTGAATATCATTTAGCGGGTTTTTCTTTCATTTTTGATAAGTTTTAGAATTAAGTTGTTTCATTATTTTTCTATTATAATCTGTGGTACTTAAAATAACTACCCCCCCCCCCCACACCCTTGTCCGCAGGTTTAATTACGATATTGTTATCCTTCCCCAAAATAAAGAAGAGTAAATTTGACCAAAACAACCTTACTAAAGCGGAAAATAATGCACTTCTTGAGCTACAAAGAGATAAAAATATTGTCATAAAACCGGCCGATAAAGGCGGTGGTATAGTTATATTATTTAAAAAGATGTATGTCAAAGAGGCGATGAGACAACTGAATGACCCTAATGTCTTTTATAAATTAGACAATGATCCCAGCCCCAATATCCAACAAATTTTCAATTATTTTTTAATCAATGGCCAAGACCAACATATTTTAACTAAACAAGAATTTGAATTTTTAAATGTTTTTCATCCTAGAATCCCTGTTATCTATTTCTTACCTAAAATTCATAAAGATATCAACAACCCTCCAGGGAGACCTATTGTGTCTGGTATTAATTCGGTTTTATCTAACTTATCTGAATACTTAGATATTCTGCTACAACCTTCAGTAAAACATATGAAATCCTACTTAAAAGACTCTATGACCCTGCTTTGCTTTTTAAATGATTTCACGTGGAAAGACACATTTTTTAGTTACTTGTGATGTACAATCCCTGTATACTATTATTCCCCACGCTGATGGTTGTTTAGCAGTCGAAAAAATTCTAAAAGCTGAAGATAATATTAAAGATAATCAGATATGTTTTATTATTGAAGGTATTAATATTATTTTTTTTAAATAATTATTTCTGGCTTTTAGACTCTTTATCTACAGAAACAAGGGAATGCTATGGGGACCAGGTTTGCTCCCAGTTATGCCAACCTATTTATGGCAGAATGGGAATCTTCTGCCATATTGGGTGGGCATGACTGGCAGGCAAACCTGGTGACATATTTTAGATACATTGACGATCTGTTTTTTATTTGGGAAGGTTCTGAAAATTCTCTGAACCAATTTTTACAATTTTTAAATCTTAATAGCAAAGGCATTATCTTAACTTGGGAATACAGTCAATTCCTTATTCATTTTTTAGATTTAGAAATTTTTATTCAGAATAACCAATTACATACAAGGACTTTTTTTTAAAGAAAGTATGCACTAATAATGCTATTGACATGTCTAGTTGCCACCATAAACCCTGCTTTAACCGGATACAAAAAAGTCAGTTCCTCCGTCTTCGGAGGAACTGCTCCCGTATTCAAGATTATGAAGAACAATTCAATACCCTTTTAAGCAAATCTACTCAAAAAAACTACCCTACCAATGACCTTAACTACCCTAAGAATACTATTAAAGAAAAAAATAGGTTAGACCTTTTAGAATATAAAGATAAGACAATTGCAAAGGGTGCCCCATCACTGCCAATCATTTTTGATTTTAACAACAAAAGCCATGTTGTGAAAAAAATCATTAATAAGCACTGGCATATATTAAAGCAGGATGACACTTTAGCTGGTATTATTCCTGACAAACCTCATGTTATATTAAGAGGAGCAACCAGTTTCAAATCCATCCTCACAAAAACCTTTACTAGAGAGCACTATTTTCCATTTAAATTCCCCCTCCTTTTTTACTAAACCTAAAGGTTTTTTTAAATGCAACAAACGTATAGCCTGTTAACGTACCGATGCGGCCATTGACTCAAAGACCACCTCCTTCGCGTCATCTGTCACACAAAAGATCTATTCCATAAAAAATGTTATTCACTGTAACACAAGGAATGTAATCTACTTATTGGAGTGCCCATGTGGGCTCCAATATGTGGGTATGACGACCAGGAATCTTAAGATTAGATTGACGGAACATTGCCGCAACATCTCTAAAGGCTACGAGAATCACTCAGGGTCTAAACACTTTTAGAGCATGATAAAAACCCTAAACATCTTAAATGTATAGGTATTGACACGTGAAATTCCATGGAGAGGAGGCAATATAAAAAAGATTTTAGGGAGTAAGGAAATGGAATGGGTATACAACCTAAAGACCCTCACCCCACAAGGTCTCAATAAAGAGTTTGAAAAAAATCATTTTTTTTCAAACTCTTTATTTTTTTATCTTTTTAATTTTTTGCAGTTTTTACAAAAGGAGATATTCTGTACAAGTTACTGTGTTTTTATAACTATTGTTTTATTTGTTCTCAGATTATCATCTTTTATATTTCTTATGGCATGCTCTTAATACAATGTAATTTTTATTATATTTTTATGTATCTTATTAGTATAATGTATTTTTATTCTATTTCTTTTATTTCATTTTTATTTATATCTTATTTATTACATGGACCTTCCCCTTTATACTTACCTCTTACTGTTCCTTATTTTTGTGTATACTTAGATTTTATTATATGTTATTCACATTTATGCTTTATGCCGATTGGTACCATTTTATTTAATCTGCATTTGTACTTTATATACATAGGTTCCTGTGGGTTTTTATAATAATCTCGGTCTAACATATCTTTTAGAGGCAGCCCGTTTCGGGTCTTGATCTTATGTGGTGTGGTAGGTTCTGAACTGTGTGCCGTCTGTGCTGTTATCTACACTACACGGCACAGCAGTATAATCTCACTCATGCTGGTCCCATCACCCCGGACACAAGACTCCTCCCACGGGGTGACGTGTTAGACCAGCAGTCCTTGCCCAACCGCATATGCGTTCCATCTGAGGATGACGCATGCGGTTCACTGACACCACGTGGGGTACGACCCGTGAGATTTTGATCTTATAGCACAGTGTGTTTACTTTAGAAGTTCTCATCTTCTTCTCTGTTAATTTAGCTTTAATTACACACAGCAGGTTGATGTAGGCTCGAGTAGGCTATTACAGAGCAAGGAATAATACATTCTAAATTAAAGGGTTACTGTAACCCTATGTGAAAAATCTTGCTAAGTTTACAATAACCTACTGAGCATTATTACCTAGGTCCCCTGCCCTTATTATCCTACTGATAAAGTATAAACGTATTTGGGCTCTGAAGGAAGTTCCTTGCACTGGTTTACATGCCACCATCAACGTCACTGCTGCTCACTTATAGCTCAATCAAACTTTTCTCATAGAGAAGCATTTGTTTGTACCGGTCTACTGGTTCTGAGAGAATGCACACTCTCTGAGCCGAGTAGGGGATAGAGGAAGGGAGGAAAAAAAACAAAAAACATTTACTATGAATGCATGGAGGCTTATCAGAAATGCAATTTCTTTGCTATCTTTACTAGAAATCTTCCAGGTTGCAACATAGCCATTTCCCCCACACTGAGCAACATATTGCTCAAGACCTTTATGTAGGGCGGAAACCATGAATACTGAGTAACTTCACAGCTCTATGGAAACATTATATCATATCTATCAATGTATTCTGCATAATTCTGCTGAAATTTACATTCATAACTTGTAATGCTCTAATTAACAATATGGCAGAATGCCGGTAACATCTTACAATCCCCCTTAAACCCTCCACACAATAAAAAGGTGCATTATCAGGACGTACCCGGAAACCAGAAAATATCTGGATGTAGCCTTTCTGGTTAAACACTTTGTTTTTATTATCTATGTATAATGTCTCTAACTGCATTCCCTCTGCTTTTGTCTGATACAGGGGTATTCACTAGCAAAATAGCAGAACGGGAAGTTTAGCTGACATGGATAACTTTTTCGATTCAGCTATTTTGGCCTTGTATTTGACTTTGTATTCCCGACAATTCTCACTTTAGTAAGTAACCATGATTGAGTCTTCCCCTCAAACAGAGCAAAAAATGGATCAATAAAGGGAGGTTGAGAACATACGGTAACAGTTTATGCCGATGATATGATGCTACTGGTGAGCCAACCCACTCTCGCACCTTCTTATCTCATGGAATTGTATGCAGATTATGGTAAACTGTCAAATCTGGAACTAAATTTGAACAAAAGCAAAATTTTGAATATTTCAGTCCCTTCTTCAGAGGAAGCTAGACTTAAATCCCAATTCTGATTCAGGTGGCGCTCAGAAGTCACTAAATACCTTAGGTTTTGGATTCACAGGGATGCATCCCAACTGTATTCACCGAACTTCAGAGAATTCAATCTGACCTTTGTTCCTGGACAAACCTCTGTACAAATATCCCAACTGTACAAGTAGTTGATAACTCCCAATCAACCCTCACCACCGAGGTTTGTGATGGGAAGGTGACCTTGAGACGGTATTCTTGGAGGAACAATGGACCAAAATCTGCATGTTCAGCACTGTTCATTGTTCAGCTCCTCCATCCAGGAAACCAATTACAAGACACTGTCATAATGGTACCGTACGTCCCACCTACTTCATCAATTATCCCCAGGAGTTCCAGACAAATGCGGGAGATGTTCCTCGGGAGTGGGGACTATGCTTCATGCATGGTGGGATTTCCCAACTATAAAACCATTCTGGAATATGAGGCTATGACATCTATAGTCAGGGATTGAGCAACCTTTTCTACAGAGGTTATGCCACCTTCCCCTCTAAATTTCCAAATTTAAAAAAATCATTCATAAGTCATTTTCCTGAATGCAGCAAGGGTGCTGATCCCTGCTCTCTGGAAACGCGTGACCCCTCCCAGCTTAGGGCAATGTATTGCCAAAATGAAGGAGATGAGAGAGAAAAAAAAATTACAGTGTCATGTGTTTGGAACAGGAGAAACCCAATATGCAGAACAATACCAATAGTGAAGTTCCATGAGGGAAAATATAGTCAGGCATGACTCTTTCTCCATAAGGCAGAAATTGTCTAGAAGGTTCAGGGATTTGCTCCTTCTCCAGCAAACCTGAAGCATGATGCGCTGAATGTGAAAACGAGCAGTGTTGACACACCACATTTTGGAATCCAAAGCTCCAGGGAGGTGAAGAGGTAGGAGACTATACCGAACACCCACACACCAACCTCGGAATGGGGAGCATTGCAGCAAGAGAGAGGAGGCCACGCAGGAAGAGTACCTGACAGACACCCACTTTATATGGCAGAGAAAGGAAGCTTGAAAAAATTTGGCTCCCATGGATGAATTATGTAGCTCACACAGGTAAAAGTCAGTGGACAGACCCTTGGTTAGGGACTTTTTGCACCGGGCTAGCGTTAGCACACTTCTCAGAGGAGGGTAGTCGGGCTGTCTGTTCGGATCTTGAATATTTTTCTCTTTCCTTGACTTTTTCTCCTTGTTTTTTCTGTTTTTACTTAAAGAGTCTTCAGTTTACTAATTTCCCTGCACATTTACAGTGTTGGTAACCCATTTTCTTTTTTGGCTTGACCCAGACCAAGCGAGGTTTCATTGCAGAGTCATAGACTCCTAGTGGGTCCAAGCCAGGAAATCGGTCTTCCGATTTGAAGACCAATTTATAATTGATAGGTTACCTTCAATCATAAAATCAGACTGAGCTAACACTTATAGATACCTCCCCATTGGGAACCCAGGTAGGCTTACACGATTGCAGAGCATAGGTGCATCTATTACACACAGTTTAAAGATGTCAAATGTTGCACATCCAGACAGAGGGAAACAAGAGAAAAGTTTGATGTGTTATCTTATGTAACGTACCATGATATGTAATTCAGATTGACATCCAGATTTATCTCTCCTCCCCTGATCTCTCCCCCGCGGTCCTACAACGTGTCACTGCTTGCCTTTCTTCAATCTCTGATTGCATGTCCTCCTGCTTTCTGAAACTCAATCTCCCTAAAACTGAGCTTATTTTCCCCCTCGTAATGCTGATCCTCCTGCTTCACGTTCCCTGCAAATTGATAGGACTTGCATCAGTCCATCCTTGCAAGCTCGTTGTCTTGGTGTGATCTTTGATCCTGGCCTCACCTTTGCACCACATACCCAGTATGTTGCTAAAACCTGTAGATTCCACCTTAAAAACATTGCACCGATCCACCCTTTTCTCATGCAAGATGCTGCCAAAAAGCTTTTTCATGCTCTGGTAATCTCTCGCATGGATTACTGTAATTCTCTCCTAGTTAGTCTCCCCATAAGATGAACTGCCCCTCTATAAGCTGTAACGAATGCTGCCGCCAGGCTGATCTTTATCTCCTGTTGCTCTTTCCCAAAGAAGCTGCACCTTTCTGCTATCAGTGAGACCAGCAATTTAAATGCACTGTACATCTTCAGTAACTAAGGGGTTGTATTACATGAACACACATACATCAGGCACTTTAAAATTAAATCATGCCGATAAAACTAAATATACAACATAGAGGAAAGAGCCCAAGGGCTCCTTAAAAAGTTTAGAAAGACTCAGGAGTATAATGAGAAATACGCAAACAGGGGCACTTTTCATTCACAAAACATAGACATCACTTGGTATCAGCATGACCGAGCATGGTGGTGGGCTCATAAGGGAGGAATTATTCTCTAGTTAGTGAGATAGGCTTAACCCCCACGCTGTTAGTGCTGCCAGTGGAAAATAGTCCAGATTTCAATAAATTCACTTACAAGTCAATTTATTTATAGACTCTACCAATGTCCTGGGAAGACCTGGCTGAAATACGCCATGTATTTGGTGTTTGATAAATTGTTGTAAATGTGGTATTTGGTAAAAATGTGAATCCTATATTTTCTATAGGATTCACTAAAAGGAACGCAGTTAGTTAGAACCAAATATTGCTTTAGTAAATGTGAGAATTGCACATCCAATCAGGTTCATGCTTCCTTCTCCGTCAGTCTGATGGGTAAATCTGTGGGTAATGGACCTACCAGAATACACATTGCTTTCTTTGGTGGAGGAGGGATAATGGTTTGAGCTATTTTTCGGGATTTGTTTTGAATATTTTTATTGTTCTCACAATATAATCGCATATATCAAATTGATTTGTGTTAAAGCAGGTAGTTGCCCGCGCAGGGGCATAAGCGTCAATATATAATGATGTAAGCATTTTGTCGCCTACGCAGAGGCGGACTTGGTATTGCCTTTATAATGTAATGTATTGGTTCATATTCAGTTGCTTGTGGTTCATATTTATTATTGTTATCACGACATATAATTAAAGCCTGTAACCGCTCTAAGAAGCGTATGTATATGTCATCGTTGTGAGGTCGGGTGCTAATCTTTCGGCAACTCCCTGCAAAGTTAGAACTGTAACATAACGGTCTGGCTACATAGGTATAGTTGAGTCTAAAATGTTCGCCAAGCATATGTGTAACGTATCCTCATGTAGCAGTGTATTTTTGTAGCCATTCGAGCTGTCTGCAATGCCCTTTTTGTGTGTCCCCTATATGTACGCGCTATCCTGGCCCATGGGCATAATAAGAAACATTTTATTTTCTGCATGGGCCGTACATGCTTGCCCTATCTGGTTAGCGCTCTAAACGTATGGTACTTCTGTGCTTAAAATTTGGCTTCTAACTATTAAACCTTAGGATGCACGTAGCTGATAGCCTTATTTGTGGTTAATATATTATGGCATATGTTTCTTGTCATTAATTAAGCGTTGATAGTTAGCGCGGTGTTAAGTAGCTATTAGCATTGCGACATTGCCCTATCAACTGCACATCAGGCATGCTGCGAAATATATGTACCAATATTAAAGAGTGTATCCTATGTACAGCTGCTTATGCATATGGAAACATTAGCGTGGTTAGCTCCAATATCATGAATTTACACTTTTAACAGTAAGAGCATTTGTGTCTATGTTAAGGCGCAGTAATATATAGTGCGGTAATCAAGCAATTAGGTATGTAGTATTAAATAACCCTGACAGTATATACGCTGCTACATAGATTTGAGAGAGTAGTTTTTCATTACTCTGACGGAGGTTTCTTGCTCTCTCGCAGGTATGATTGGCCCTTAGGGGAACACTAGTGCCCAAGGTTAAGTCTTATTGGTGTGGTATCGCCTACAGTGCATTAGGTTTCAGGCTGAGATATGGTTACGGGTACAGCCATCTTATAGCGTATCTGTCTGGTGGAATTTCAAAATGCGCAGTACAGGAATAGGAGCAGGTAGAGAATAAACATTATTAGCAATATGTCGCCTTGTGTAGAAAGCTGAGGGGGGGCCTCACATGTCTGCAGTGCCTTCCTCAGGTTGCCGAGCCTTTGTCCGTCCTCCCCACTCTGGCACCAGTTCACCGGCCGGGTCCTCCGCGGCACCGTGGGCACTCAGGGGCAGTGGTTGCCTGCCAGACCCCACCACAAAGTCCACGGCCCCCCTGCCCCCTGCACCTCCCCAGCGTCGCGTTGTTCCCCCTGGAGCGAGCATTCCCACGTCTCTCCCAGTGCCGGCCTCACGCTTAAGGCTGGTACTCCGCCCCCACGGCCACCGGTCCGCCGGTAGGGCGGTGCACTCCCGCCTCACAGGGCTCGCAGCAGTGGGGACGTGATTCTCTGGGGACCCCCATACCCAGAGACTGGGGTACTCACTGCTCTAGCCAGCTTGTGGGCCGCGTGGAGTGGCCGTCTAGTGTCCAGCATCACCTGGGCCTGCACAGGCCGTCCATGTCAGTCCCCTGTGCTTTATTCCGCTGTGGTCCTCAGGGTAGAATGGGTTATGCTGAAATGTCTCTATAGAGGTGCAGGTGTTATTCCTCGCATCTGTTTCAAAGATATCCAGCCAATGCTCACTGCTAGTTCATGGTCTGTGTGCCTCCCAGCGATATTTCCTTTTCCTCTGCTTCAGGGTCAATCCCTGCTGGCTTGCTGTTCCTCATACAGCTGTTTGCCAGTATAGGCGGCCAGTGTGCGCCCCACGTGGGAGCTCCCCCTGTGGCGCCAGTCACCGCCATGTGGCCGGGATAACCCCCGCCGGCCAAGAGGGGGGGGCAGGGCCGTGCCCCGGGCCGGGAGCAAGTCCCCCTCTGGCGGTCCTGTCCCCCGTTCATATGTCTCGGGCTGTGCCTTTCTGTGGCGTAGAGTTGCGTGTGCTGGCTGCGGGTGGTTGGGTGTCTTGCCGCGTGTATGCCTGGCGTGGCCTCTCTCGCTCACCCCGCCCGCGGCATGGTGTTTGTCGGCATCTAATGACAGCTGGGGTCGTTCCCCTTCCCCAGCTGCCACGGCACCCGGTGTTTGGGTGTTCCGGAACGGCTTTTTGGGCTCTTTTACTCTGGTTAGTGCCGGAGCCCATGTGAATGGCGTCCGGTCGGCCCGG